GCGCAAGTTTCTGTATGCTGCTCGCTGTTCCTCTGTATAATCTCGCCTAATCGAAATTTTGTCAAAGGCAGAGCCTCTTAGTAGGTTAGCGTTCCGCATCATGCTATAGCACTTCTCTCTGTCTGGAATGGTAGCACGCAGTGGTCTAGGTTTGTCACCTTGCTTACCTAATCGTCTGTATCTCTCCACTACCGTGTGCACCTACCTTGAGCACATTGACGCAGATTTCTGTGAATAATTTCTCATCGTGTGCTTGCCTTGCTGATTCGGAATCTGCCTTAGATTCTTCCATAATAATATATATAATATTAATAATATCTGCAATACTTATTATTACTTTCTTTCTAATTCTAGGTCATCTTCAAGAAAGAAGAATGCATCTAGTGCTGTGGACAGTGTGGTTAAAGTGGACAGTGCTACACCAAAACTACCCAGCAGTCGTACTAAAATAACGAAAAAGAGAAAACAAGATGCAGATTCTACTATTGATTCACCAGGCACATCTCGTACTAAATCTTTGGTGAGAATATAGCCACAGCCACAGCTATTCCTTCAGCTCCAATTACTGGGTATATTCCCAGTGAGATTGCAGGCTTAATTTAAGCCCCAATATTTTCATAGAACTGTCCGGGATATATCGTGAGCATAACTACATATTTTTACAAGTTTAATGTATTGGTGAAATTGGGGTATTAGGTAAAGCAAGAATACAGTGCTTAAAATGGATAAACCACGCAACAAAAAGCCTATATAGACCTACTGTCAGTACTGACACTGTGAGCATACGTGCAGTGTGCAAACATCAAGAAATGTTGTGATTGAGCCAGAGAAGTGCTACAAACATTGGGATTTTCCGTCTGATGCAGTTATGTTACACAGCTAGCAGTAGCCCTACGCTAGCGCAAATAGATCATGGAACGAAAACACTATATTTGTTTCCTGATTGCATAAGTAATATATATAGATACCGATATGATTTAAACCAATTTCACAATTTTGTACTGAATAAACATCGAATAATGAATTATAACTGGTTTTATCATAGAAAGGAACTGTTAGTGAATCGAGCCAATCGCTCCACTGCGTCCCGGATATGTAAACATCACTGTTGTGCTACTTTTGTAAGAGAAGTAATTTTGTTTAGATTTTGAGAAGAAATGATATGAAAGTAACAATACAAATGAGTTGCAGTGAATTTTTCCAATTTATATGCAAGCTCACAGTAGGTATATATATATATATATGCATTTAGCTGCAAGGTTTTGCAACTTAAAGAAGTTATATTAAAACGTAGCATTAAGAATTCTGTAGTTACCTGAAAGGACATTTCCCCTTCATTAATTCCTGCATGATTTTTTTTTGGTAGAAAAAGAAATGCGAGCCAACTGCTTTCAAAAGAGGCAGGAAGAGCCTTGTACCATCTTTATCACCAACTGATGCAATATATGGTATGCATGTTTGATATATATATATATATATACAGGGTTCGAAATCCTATCGGGCCCGCAGGCCCGCTGCCCGTATTTTAAGGCTCAGGCCTGACATTTCTAATACTAGCAGGCCCAACGGGCCCGTAGAAAATCCACCCCCAACATGCAACTAGCGGCATGCACTAGTGATCTCAGCGCCGGATTCAAGAAGAAATGCGTACGCAGAAAATTTAGAACACCTCACGCACAACTTTAGTTGGCATTCAAGAAACGTCCGTGGGGTGTTCGTACGCACAGGTTAGCACAGGTTAGCACAGGTTCTTGAATCCAGACTAAAGCAGCATTGGCATACCAAAAATCGATGAGAAGTGGGTGGAGCTTACTTTTGGCCAGTGGCAGTAAACCTTACATTGTGTTGGCCAGGGTTTATTTACGTGCACGGGTCACGCTCACTGTTCACGTGTGCTACGTTGTTGAGTAATTACCTTCGCCCAACAGCGTTGAAGGAGGTTATGTTTTCGCTCTCGTGTGTTAGTGTGTTAGTGTGTTCGTGTGTTCGCGCGATCGATATTAGCGCGTCGATCGATATCACCCAGCAAGCCAGCGAGTCAGCAAGCCAGTGAGCCAGCGAGCACAGCGAACCAGCTCGTAACACATACATGTTACATGGGAGCGTGTACATGTCAGTACGCTGGCGTATATCGTGGGTTATTAATGTGTTCGTGAGTCGTATGGCGTATGTCTCTGGCGAAGGTATGCACTCCGTGAGTGCACTCTATCTAGTTCGCACATAATATTGACATCCCTGCGCATTTCAATAAACAATAAAGTATCACTGGTAGTTAACAAACGATCAGTATACTGTTTTAAAATAAAGAAGATTTAGGTAACATAGCATGTTGAATTATACAGTAAATAATAATAATTGTCTCAAGTTGACACACATCAGTCACTGTATCTGCAAAGCACGTCGTATTACTTACTTGTCATGCAAACAGCAGTACAGCCTCGTCGCACCACTCGGGTTTAACCGTGTCATTTTGTTTTTAACGTTTGGAAAACCTATATATATACATTTTAATATTTTATACAGGGTAGAGCTAAATAAAAGCTTCCCTACGTTATGACCAAATGTGGTTTACGTAAAACACCTCTCCGTGATGTGCTTTATCATTTGTATAGCTTCCTGTCTCCCAATATTCTGTACAGCATCTAGCGCATCAGGCAGAATGTTGGCATTAAAAAGAATGTCGTCTAAATATCGGATTGGTAATCAATATTGGCTTTTCAAAATCCCAAAGCAGCACGTACAACAACACCTAGTCCAACATGTCCAAGTATGAACTTTATTATGTCGTTGCTCTGCTGCAGTTTGTGGGTTTGCGTAAGGTATCGTAAAGCAAGCATTTATGAACTAGACACAGTCTCCTAATAGCCACCCTTCTCCTATAGCACCATTCTCAAAGATTGTGGTGAGAGCAAAGTTATTTAAAATATACACGGCAACTGTAAAAGAGGCGGAAGAATAGGAATATTTCCGCAGAGGATGGGACTTCATAATTTATGAAGTGGGACAGAGAAAGAGGACTGTTTGGAAGTTTTGCTGGCAACTGGCAGCTGTAGTTAATAAAAAGGCATGGCAAGCTGTGACTAAAGCAGTCAATGCCGTATCCAGCAAGCGGCAGCGTGCGAGCTTCGCACTCGCCCGCTCGCCAATGTCGAGTGAAAATAATATCGGGCGAGTGAAAGCTAAAACTGACTCGCCCATGTTGGCGAGTAAAAATAATTGTCTAAAACTTTAATTAAATGTTGGTTCTTTAAGCCTATTAGTAGTAATTGGAGTGAGAATTCTGACAGCTCATTAGTAGTCACTGACTATGTTCTTTGTATTACTGTAAATAAACCATTGCAGGGTTTCTTTGGAGGGAAAATTAGAGAAAGGAGGTAATGGCCAGTTTGGAAAAAAACGTGCACATGATGGATTCAAAGGAAATAACGGAAAAGTGTAGACCCCTGCTTCACATGTCGGACTCAATAAACGCACATGGCAATCTAAATATGCGAGAAGCACGTGGTGATCTATTTATTTTTGGGTTGACAGTTGACACTATTTTGACAACGGCGGGTAAATAGAGGAACATTTTCCCAATGGCGATGTTAAATTTGACAACAGCGTTGCGCCACTATGCCTCTTATGTATAAGAAACCCTGCATTCTAAAAATTTCAAATTTCAGTCTTTTATTTTAAAAAAATGCTGCGGTATCCGGGGAATGATGCGGGCCTGTAATTTTTGCCTGGCGGGCCTGTAAATCTACCCCTGTATATATATATATATATGTATATATATAATATAACACCTGTCTGATACACCAAAATGTATCTCCGTTATTGGTCACAGTTCAAGTTGTAATTTATTGAATTTCCCAATCTAAATTTTTGTATCCTCATGCGTAGTACTGTATTCATGCTGAAGCTAATGTACAATATACAAGTGTACGCCATTCATTATAATATTTCTTTGCAGTGCTCTGAGTCTTATTTATAAATAAGGGCTTGGAGTATTTGTGTGATTCATGTACTGTAGGCTTTTTTTAATACTTCTAATAGACACCAAGAACGATAATCGCCCTAAAGTAAAGAAAATGAAGGAGCTTCATCACACTGCCTTGCAGGTAATTGATGAATAACGATGTAGATACATATGTGTGATAATGAGCATTTATTAGGAGCGCTCGTATATACAGCTCTACGCCATGATGACCGGTGGGTAAGAGGGCTAGATATTACTACGCACTGTATAAGACCGCGCTACAATGTAGTCCGTCGAGTACACTATGTACATACTGTTACATCCCCCTTACGAGAATAAGCATTATATATATGCATCTAATAATAGAATGCTAAACATACAGATATTGCTAGACTGAGTATACTGTGTAGAATAAACGAATTATTACAGTAGCGAAAGTTGTCCGTGTTACGATTATTGTAATTATGGTAAATGGTGCACACAGTATTAGATACTTTGTCCCTCGAACTGAACATGTCTAAATTATTGCATTCACACTGTCTTGGCACATTACATGTAAATTACACAATTGCATAATGAAACTGAATACATAAATGAACAATAGAGAACCTCTAGTTCTTGTCACACCCATGGATTATTATGCCATTTCGGCACAGTGTGTCACAAACACTATTACTTGCAATGTAGCCCAATGATAGACAGTCGATCATGACTGTGGAGTGTGAACAAAACAGTCTTTTCCTGTGGCTGTGAGATATGTAATGAAGTAAAGTAAATATGAATACAACTAATATGCCACTCTAGATACTATGATATACACTGCTGAGATATTACATGTGGCTCAGCTTCGTAGTCACTTTTTACTCAAACTTGTCTGGTTTCTTTACTACCCAACCCGAACGGGTCTTATACGGGCTCTTGCACAGTGTCTGGTTACTGTCCGTATTTGGCAGGTTACTGGCTCTGGTTCGCATCGGTTCCACTGGTGCATGTGTATGCGACATCTCTGGAGGTCTAGTACGTCCATGAGCGTCATTTGGATTGCTGCTACGGACACCACTGGACAGGCTACGTGCATGCGTTTCCTGCCGGATCGGATGTGCGAACGTTACACGCTTCTTTCTCTCGGGGGAGTCTGGAACCTCTCGAATATGTATTCGTTTCCGTCTCAACTGGCTCCCATTGGGGCTAGCAACAATATACGATCGAGGCTCGTCGCATTTCGACACAATAGTTGCTGGCTGCCAACGATTAGTGTTGTAGTCCTGGACTGTCACTGATTGTCCAGGCGTGAGGGGCGGCAAATCGTTTGCCACATGATCATGATACGCTTTCTGTGTCACCTGTCCCTTCTCTAGTTGTTTGTGAATATTGTCTGCATCGCGATGTTGTTGTATCTGCTTGACAGGGATATTTCCTCTCCACTTGCGAACAGCGAGCAGCTCACCTGAGCTTGGTAGTTGCTGACTTACCGGCGTGGTACGAAGACAACATAGCCATTTGAACATCAGTGTTTGCTCGTTTCGCCTTGCTAAGCAAACTCTTTACAGTACGAATCTGTCTCTCGACAAAACCGTTAGACTGCGGAAATCTAGGCGATGACGTCACGTGGTCAAAATACCACTGTCTCGCGAATTCTCTGTAGCTCTCTGAAGCATACTGAGGTCCGTTGTCGTTTATCACACGAGTGGGGATTCCATGTTCGGAAAATACCTACTTGGTATGCTCAATAACGACTTTACTGGTATACTGGCTTGGCAGTTTGCGAATAATCGGAAACTTGCTGTAGTAGTCCGCAATTATCAGGAGCTCACTGCCATCGAACTGGAACAGGTCTGTGCCTACGACCTCCCAAGGACGGCTAGGTATTTCATGCGGTAACAGCGTTTCATGTGTCTGTGATGGTTGGTACACTTGGCATACTGGGCATTTCTTTATCAGAGTTTCGATGTCTTTATTGATTCCGCTCCAGTACACTGCATCCTTAGCACGCAGGCGTGTTTTCTCGATGCCTCGATGTCCATAGTGTAGGTTCTCGAGTACCTCCTTCCGTACGTCAGCTGGAACTAGGACACACTGTCCCTTAAGAATAATGCCATTTTCCACTGATAGTTCATCAGGGTTCGACCAATATGATCTGATTGGTGTAGGGATCTCTCTGATTGTTTCGGGCCAGCCAGTAGTGAGTTTCACTTAGCTGGTTGGGTGTGGAGTCTCTCCTAGTAGCTTCTCGTATGCTATTTAGGCGTTCTGTGCTAAATCTCACGAGGTCAACTCTCACATCAAGATCAATTGTACCTTCGTTTTCTGTGCAGGGTAGGTGCGAGCTATATGTATCGGCTACAGTCATCTCCCTTCCTGGCCGGTATTCAATGTCTATCCGGTATCTCTGGCTTTTGCAAAATCATGACTAATGGTTTGTGGTCAGTCAGGACTTTGAAACTGTGGCCGTAGAGGTATGTGTGGAAGCGTTGTACACCAAATACTATGGCGAGTAGCTCCCGTTTGATACACGCATAGCGCTTCTCTACGTCAGATACCGCTTTAGAGGCATATGCCACCGGTTTCCCATTCTGCAACAGGGCCGTGCCCAGTCTCTTGAGACTTGCATCAGCTTGCAAAACTGCCGTCTGACTGGTGTCAAAATACTGCAGCGTGGAGTCTCCCGACACTGCTCGTTTGAGCTCATCGAAGCTCCGCTGGTGATGGTTTTCCTACATGAATGGCACATCTTGTTTCAGCAGGTCACGTAGAGGTGCTGCTCTGTCTGCCAACCTGGAGATGAACGGTGACAAGTATGTTACGAATCCCAGGAATTCTTGTAACTCCTTAGTAGCAGGGCTTGGCATAGCCTGCAGGTCGGCTATTTTCCCTGTGTCAGGATGTACGCCCTTATCGGAGTACTTCATACCAAAGATGGCAATGCTGTCGGACTTGACGTTGCACTTGGTCGAGTTGAACACTAGACCATTCTTGGCAGCGACACGCATCAGTGTGCAGCATCTCATGGTGTTTCTCATCCGTTTTAGCATTGACTGCTACATCGTCTGCTATATGCCTACTGCACCATCCACTTGGTCCAGGATCTGATACATTTTCAATTGAAAGATGTCCTGCGGGACGGATAATCCGAACGGCAGACGTGCAAAACAATATCTCCCAAACCGCGACTGGAATGTGGTGAGGAGCTGCGATTCATCGTCAAGTTTTATCGACCAGTATCCCGCTTTTGCGTCAAGCTTTGAGAATTCCTTAGCCCCTGCGAAGTGGTGTGTGAGTTCTTCCACAGTAGGTATCTTGTGATATGGACGTTTTAGTGCTCGGTTGAGATATCTAGGGTCCAAACAGACACGCAGGGATCTGTCTTTCTTGTGCGAATTGGCCAAACCAGACACCCAGTTGGATGGTTCTGTCACCTTACGTATAACGTGGTTTTCTTCTGTAATGTAATCCAGCTCTTTCTTTATTTCGTATTTCAGTGCAATAGGGGTTTTTGGAGGTGCATCAACGTGCGCTGGAGCATTTGGATCGACTGTAATCTTGAATGTGCCTGGCATCCAATCCTGCCAAATTGTTTGGGGTACAGTCACTTCAGGTCTTGCACATTCCCTATGGAAGATACGTCTGCTCTTGTAGATGATTTTGTTGTCTCGCTATCAGCGAGGCTTGTGCTGTTGATTGCACAGTGTAGTGTCACTAATTTTAACCGTTCACTGGACTGTAGACCGATAGCAGCTGGTCCTTCCACGTACACTATGTATAATCTGCAGTCGGTCCACTCAGAATCATTATAGCTACATGGCACGTCAATAGCTCCATGGCATGGGATTGGTGTACTGTTGTACGCAGTTAGCCGTGTTCGTCTGGCTGCAGTGGCAATTTCTTGTGCGGGATAGCCTTCTGTTGTGAGCATGTTGGGGTACATTCTGCGAAATACAGATAGTGGCAAGGTATTTCCTTAAGCACCAGTATCTACTTTGAGTCTGAGCTTGTGTACGCCTGGACGGTTGCGTAGCTTGATGTCCAAACCTGTGAATGCTTCATCGCGTTGCGTCTTATGTAGACACATGGTTGACACAGTTATGTTGCTGAATTGCAACACATCAAATCGCTCACCCAGGTTATTCGCACTGTCTTGTGCATTGTGGATAGCGTCTGCATGCATATGCCTATGGTTATCTCTCTTGTAAGGAGTTGCTGCAAGCTCGGTATGGCTTTCCTCATTTGTAATCAGACCTTGAGCATCCACGGTTACCTGAGAGTCCTCAGCCACGTGGTGGGGATTTGTGCCATCGTTTCTGTTTGCTCGCTAGATAAACGCGTGCCCAGTGGTTTATCCTGCCACAAGCTTTGCACTCTGCTCCATATGCTGGGCACTGTTCCCGTGATTTGTACTGGTGTTTAAACCCACAATTACGGCATATGCCACTAGCATGTTTAGTGATACCGTGTACAGCATGTTAATACATGGATCCTGAGCGTAGGACCAGTACTTACGAGCGGGAAGGACAGAAACTTACGTGTTTACAAGAACACTTTTATTCTGCAACTCCTGACGTCACATCACTTACAAAGGCTTCTGGGTACTCGCGAGTGATATTACTACGCGCATCAACATCCCCTTTTCTTTAAAGTTTTTCAGAAACAGTTCCAATGGCTTATAGTCATAGTCACAACACACTTTCAGTTACATACTGTTACTATTTCAATTAAAGAAACTTAGCACTTAGAAAATCCAATCTTGCCTTTATAAGGTCAGAAACACTGTTTAGAATTTCACATCTCCATCCTGCACAGCAACCTAATCTTTCTGAACACAACATTAAAATTGCACACATTTAAACATGTTACTTTGCTGGCTTTAAACAATGAGAATAACAAGCTACTCAAAATGAGAACAGTCAGAACACTAAAAACAAATTCTCTCTATCAGTATCAGTCCCTTCCTTAGTAAAGTCACTAAACTGCAACTAGCATGAAATACCTTCACTCGTGTTGTTATTTACAATCCTACACTACCTATGTCACATAATCTTTCAGATGTACTGGCTTTTTGATATCGCGCCTCGACCTCAAAGACATGTTCCCGGACTTTTGCGAGTTACAGTCCATATCGCGCACATCTGAACTACTATCCCGATCACGCACTTCCACATCACAGTCCATTTCGCGTTCGCGTCTATTCACTCTCGGGCTGCACGGTATGTTCACTCCTGGGCTGCACGGTACAGGAACTTTCTCTGGGATGACATCTCCACGGTGTACTGTAGGCTTAACTGTCTCAGTCTTTGGCATCCGACCAGACAGCGGATCATCCCCTCCTGGGGACAGATTGCGAATTCTTGGGGAACACATTGTCGCCCTCATGTGTACACGATTGCGACGGTACACTCCTCCATCAGGTCCTCTCACCATGTAAGTTCTGGGTCCCACAATCTCAATGATCAGACCTAGTCTCCAGTTCTTCCCTTCCATATGCTGAAAGAACACAGACTGTCCAACATCTAGTTCTGATAGATGTCGAGATTTCCGATCGTAATTCTTCTTCACTGCGCGTCTGCGAGACTCGCGTTTTGCTTTCACAGACTCAGAGTCCTTGTGTTTCACTACGTGTGGGAGAAAACTTCGCGTCTGCCGACCAAACATCATCTCCGCGGGACTACGACCAGTGTCTTGACGAGGAGTATTTCTCTGTTCAAGGATAGCCTCAAAAGGATCACCACCTTCCTTCTGTGTTTTCCGCATGAGATTTTTCATGATCTTAACGGCGGACTCAGCTTTGCCGTTAGCCTGCTGGTGCATGGGTGAAGACGTCACGTGATTGATGCCCCAGTCAGATACAAATGTCTGAAATTCGTGACTCACGAACTGTGGACCTCCATCAGATACTACGACTTTGGGTATACCAAATCGAGCAAAATGCTTCTTCAGAAACATAACCACCCTTGCACTTGTTGTCGTTGTAAGTAGATCCACTTCTATAAAGTTTGAAAAGTAGTCTACTACGACCAAATACTGCTTCCCTTGGATGTCAAACAAATCCAACCCGACTTTCTGCCAAGGAGCGTCACCTTCGTCGTGTTGACGTAATGGTTCCTTCTGATTTCTCGACATGGATTCTTGGCACGTTTCGCACGTGTCGGCGATTTGTCTAACGTCGCTCGCAATCCCAGGCCAGAAAATCGTACCTCGGGCTCTCCGCAGCATGCTGTCATAACCGAGATGTGCACTATGAAGTTTCACCCTCATCGATGATCTGAGCCTTTCAGGAATAACTACAGCCTCTCCTTTCAGGAGAATACCATCCATGTGACTTAGAGTGTCTCTAATGTCATAGTAGGGTACTGCACATGAGTGGGTTTCACGTTTGTTCTCAGGCCACCCCTCCATAACAAATTTGATGACAGCCTGTAGATTCTTGTCACCCGACGTCGCCTCGCGAATTTCTTCCATTCGCGGATCAGGAATGTCACCAAACGTGTTTACTGTTATAATACGTGGACGTTCCTCCATTGTCGTCGAAATCATCCCCACTGACATCAGTTTCTTGGGACAAGGCATGAATGTTCTTTTTACACTTCTTTGCGAAGTGATTCCTGCCCTCACATTTGGCACACGTTTCGCTCCAAGCAGGACACTTCTCCTTCTGTCTTTCGTGTTTGAGACCACAGAAATGGCAATCAATTATCTGTTTGTCTGCTGGCTTCTGAGACTTGAAGTGATTGTTGGGTTTATGTGGTTTGACAGGTTTCTGCACTGGTCTACCAGGCCTGTACGATACTTTGTTCACACTTGGATTAGGTGTTGCCATGTCCCTAATTTCTTTGACCTGTCTATATGACTGTTCAAATGCCCTATACACACTCACAGTTTTCACAAGTGTCAACTTATGTTAACAACATCAACGCAACTCTCACTCCACAGTTCTTGGAGTTTACCAGTCACTGTGAACACGATCTTGTCACGCAACATTCTTTCCTTTTCTTGAAAGTTACATGCGGTCGCACGAGTTTTTAACTTGGTTAGAAATTTGTCAAATGGTTCTTGATATTGCACATTCCAGAAACGAAAAGTTTCAAGTACCTCATTGTCTCTTGGATTACAGTAGCTTTCGAGAGCTTCGAGAACCTTCGCGGGGTCATCTCTGTCATCTTCTTCCGCCCACGTGAACTGATCATAAATTTCTAACACATGCGATCCGGCACAGTTCAGCAAAATGGCAGTTTGCACCGCATTGTCAGTTTGTCCACCCCCTGAAGCAGCCAAATAAACTTCTACCTGACGCTTCCAACGTTTAAAATTCTCAGAAACGTTGCCCGTATTAATGTCAAGTTGCGGGGGTAATCGCAGTGATGCGCTGTATGCCGGTAGAGCATGCGCCATTTTGACGAGGTTGAATGGCAAATCCTAGCTGCACGACGTGCGAAGTCACATTCCTCGATAAGTTCAGCTTACCAACGTCTCGCCGGTCGCATCTACGCGTTCCATACAGTCTTCGTCACTTTTACACCGCTGCGACCATGTTAATACGTGGATCCTGAGCGTAGGACCAGTACTTACGAGCGGGGAGGGCAGAAACTTACGTGTTTACAAGAACACTTTTATTCTGCAACTCCTGACGTCACATTACTTACAAAGGCTTCTGGGTACTCGCGAGTGATATTACTTAGTGATCAACACAGCAGCAGTTGGTGCACTCATGTCCTTAAGCTGTTGTACATGTAAGTCTGCAGCTTCATATGTCCTGCCTAGTACTGGTGTGTCTGCTAGTTTATAGGTTTTGTCCTTGCTCAGTAACTTTTTGATATTCAGGTATAGGGGTGCTGGCAATGATCAATTCAATCAATCTGTCATTGAGCTCATTTTCCTCAAAGTCACATCTTATTGCCTGTACATCTTATTACTTCTATTCACGAAGTCGTCAACGGATTCTCCTTGTTTTTGGCGGAAATGCATTAGTTTTAGGCGACTAATACGGTAGTTTTCAGACGGTTCTAATCGTTCGGCAAATCTGGCGAATATGCCGCTCGTGGATTTCCTCTCGTCGTCTGTTAGCGTCCACGCGTTATAGCAGCGAAGACCCTCATCTCCCACTTGGAGCAGTATATAATTCACTTCGTCCTTGTCTTTGATACCCTTTACTTTGAAATATATCTCAAGCCTTTGCTTAAAAAGCTTGAAAGCGTCTGCCTGGTCAGGCAAAGTCGAGTCCATGTGTGAGACTTGATCACGCGACATGTTTGTTGACTGCTCTTTTTGACTGCTCTTGTCTACAGCGAGTGATGTGTCGACATATCAGCCGAATTTTTACATCATAATATCACACGTGCATCATACACTGTCATAACATGTGCTTAGCACACTGTATAGTGGAACTTGTCAGCTTCAGTTCTGTCAATCCAGCGATGCATCGACAGTTATCTTGTGTATTTGTCACAACGCGCACTGTGTTGCCATCACACGAGGCGAGCTTGTAAACATAAGGCTGCGTGCGCATTCGGGCACTTCATGCCGATCGTTGGCATGGCGCGCTGTAGCTACTCAGCCCATAAAACGAGGCATTACGCACCGCGGGCTTTCACACATACATACGACATTGACATGAGTTGCCATTACTGCCTGAGGCGTCTTGAACATACGTAAGTTTCCGCTGCCACCATGGTGAATAACGATGTAGATACATATGTGTGATAATGAGCATTTATTAGGAGCGCTCGTATATACAGCTCTACGCCATGATGACCGGCTGTGTTCAGAATAGCTTAAAATTCACCAAATTGCACTTTTTTTTCAAAAAAATTCAGGGGGGGTTTTCCCCCGAACCCCCCTAGCTGGGCAAGCACCCGTGGTGCTCGCTTTGCAAGGACCTCGATACGTGCAAACACACCAAAAAAATTACCACCTCAGATACCTTTTTGCCCAGGGGAAACACTGCACTTGTGGCATAACCTGCAAGAGTTACATTCTTGCAAAATTTCATTTTGCAAAACGTTCTGCCAAAACCACCATAGGAAAACTAAAGCACGTCTTATTTAAAAGTAATCCATTTTGTGTTTATGGTTACACAAATGTGTAAACATTTTATATGTTCTAGCAGTTTAAAGTAGAGGTAAAAATGGTGTTATTTTTAGTATTTACCTCTAATTAATATTATACTTTCTCTATTTATTTCCTCATTCTTTCCCTGTTTTTCTGTAGAATTTTTATGCATTACAACAACTTCCATTTTACAATGTAGGCTTCTCAATTTGCCAGCAAAATTTATTTACCTTTGAAAGTAATTATTGTTATGTGTCTTTTGCCCATGCCTTACACAGGACAAACAAGGTAGTATATGACATAATTTACACTGCAACAGAAATGTGAAAATCCCATTTGCCTCACAGAAAAAAAGAAGAGAAAATTGGGTGGGTTTAGAAAGGAATCATTGAAATTACTGTATGTTTAATTTAATAAAACTGCAAGAAATACTTAGTATCTGTATTTAATTTTAATTAGTTCTGCCGTTTGAATATAGTTATAAATAGTTTATATTTTATGTAGCATGCTTTAGACAAAATGGAGAATGATCTTGGTGCTGATGCAAATGTGGAGAAGATGTTAGTGCTTGGTACGTATGATAACTATGTTTTAGTGAAGTTTGAGAGAGTAGGGTTAAATCTGTAAAAATTCCATATGATATTAATATCATGGTATTTAAAAAGTAAACAGAAAGCATTTTAATGGCTAAATTGTTAAATTATTTTCTTGTTTGTTCTTTGAAAAATTTAATAGTATGCATTTATAATTACATGGTAATTGAATTTCAGCCAGAGAAGCCTTTGAAAATGCATCCAAAAAAATACATGCACAGGGACTCTTCATCAAAGCCGTTGAATACACGGCAAGGTATTATATATAAATGGATATATAAAGCGGATATATAAATGTATAAATAGCTATCATACTGTGTGATGCTTGGTCACTACCCAACATTAACCTGCTGGTCATTGAAGTAATATTGTAACTGTGTAATGTTTTTTATATTGTCATATAAGCTTTCAACTTTATAGTGGTATGGGAAAGTGGCGTGTGAAAGTGCGTGCTCACTGCTTGTAATCTATGTTAATGATTGCAGTCGGGTCCCTACCTTGTCGAGAGACCTGCAGGGACAACAAGAAGGAAGTGACTACAAAGAATACACGAAGAAGTTGGCTGTAGAGAGTGATAAATGGGACAGCCTTTTGAATGAACATAAAGAGCTTGCAGATAAAGCTAGAGAGTATGTATGAAAGTATAATTATTATAGAAGTAGGTTATAGCAAAATAACAAGATTAATTTTCAGGAATGTTGTTTCATATGATATGGGTAAAGTATATTACTTTTATAAAGTATCTAGGAGGATTTGTTTTATGAGGCTGCATGGTATCATATTAACCTAAATATTTTTTAAAAATCTTATTGAAACTAATATTTCTAGTAAGTATTGTAATATTAATTACAGCTAGCGCCGTCTAAGCATAGCTCTTGGAACTATTAGCTTCGTTCTGATATTAGGACTGAATTCCATCATGGCTGTCTGCTATGAGTATTTCAATAATAAATCTGATGTTATTTGACTTATGCTTTACTCATAGTCTTTCCTGTACAACATAACATGGTGTCAGAAGGGTAACGAATACCCATAGAATGCCTACAGCACAGTTTCGTGCGTAACAATTGACTGTTACTGTGTGTATTCGGTGCATTGAAGTACGAACACGCCGGTCGGTTACAACAAAGTGATCTGGACCACACGAGACATGCCTCAAAAAATAGCAACTTTTCAAGTACAACCTCGATTTTTCCAAGCCTTTGGACTGGCCTCAATGGATCAAGAGGTACGAACGTTTCAGCGTTGCTTCAGGCCGTTCAACAGAGGGTGAACACAAGCAGGTTTGCACTCTCATATATACGATGAGCAGCAAAGCAGATGAGATACTGCCGTCTTTTGGACTATTCGAAGCGGATGCCAATAAAATAGCAGTGGTCAAGGCTAGATTCCAGGATCACTTCATCCGTACGATATCTTTGAGAGAGCAAGATTCAACAACCGTAGGCAGGAAGCAGGAGAATCAGCTGATAGCTTCATCACAGCGCTTTGCAGCTTTGCTGAACACTGCAACTATGGCACTCTAAAAGAGGAAATGATCCGGGATAGAATAGTCGTGGTTCTACAGGATGAAAAGCTCGTAGAAAAACTGCAGATGGACTCGAAGCTGACTTTAGTTAAGGCAGTAGACATGACACGCCAAAGTGAATCAGTCAAAAGCCAGCAAACCGTCATTCGCAACCCAAGCAGCAGTAGCGATAATGTCGATGCACTTCACGCTAGGCGAGGGAAACCGTGGAACCAGCAAAGGAAACCACAACCCAAGGAAAACGTAGCAGTCACGGGAGTAGTAGCAGCAAACACGATTTCAACTCTTAAGTGTTCGTGGTGCGGCCACCAACCGAAACACAATCTGGAACACTGCCCCTCGACATTACGCGAACATCTGCAGATCTAAAAGTAGCTGTCACCGTCAGGACCGAGATAAACCTAAACGCCACAACAAAGTGCACGTTCTTGAGGAAGCCAACCTCGATTATAAATTTCTGGGCGATATCAACACTGACTCCGAGTTTCTAGGTGAAGTCAACACTACAAGGAGCCAACCTTGGATGGTAGATCTGACACTCAACAACACACACGTACGCTTTAAAGTGGATACCGGTGCTGATGTGACTGCTATACCGGAGAAGCTATACAAGGAAATCTTCAAGGCGTCTGAGCTTCAACCTACGGATAGGACACTCTACGGACCTGGTCAGGTCAAACTAGAAGCATCCGGAAAGGTCTGCGGTGTTCTACAAGTAGACTCGGAACGCAATAGTCGTCGACACCATGGCAAATCGCGCCAGAACATGTACGTGATCAAACACCTTACGCAACCGCTACTAGGTAGACCAGCAATAGAATCGCTACACATCTTATCGAAGGCTAACCTGTGTAGCATGGGGTCGCAAAGTACAAGAAGCAGTTTCCAAAACTCTTTACGGGATTAGGAAAACTCGAGGGAGCGTACAAGATCGAACTGAGCGAAGACGCAAAACCTTTCGCGATCTCTACGCCTCAAAACGTCCCGCTACCACTTATGTCAAAAGTGAAGGAGGAGTTAGCGCGCATGCAAAACCTGGGAGTGATCAAACCGGTAGACACCCCTACAGATTGGTGCACTGGCATGGTCGTTGTGCCGAAAGCGAATTCGGAACGCTTCCCCATATGCTTAGACATGCAACGATTGAATGAAGCCATACGCCGTGAACTCCACCCGCTACCGTCAGTTGATCACATGCTAGGACAACTGAGAGGAGGGTAAGTTTTCTCCAAACTGGACGCCAACTCTGGTTTCTGGCAAGTCGACCTTGATGAGGAGTCACAGTTACTCACAACTTTCATGACTCTATTCGGACGTTTTGCCTTCAGACGACTTCCCTTTGGTGATTCTTCCGCTCCTGAGTACTTTCAAAAGAGAATGCAGAAGATTTTAGAAGGATTAGATGGTATCGTCTGTGAGATGGACGACATACTCGTCTTTGGGGGAAACCAGGACGAACATGACAGGAAACTGTTAGCACTTAGCAGTCTTACGTCGACTAGGAAAAGCAGGTATAACGCTAAACGTCGATAAATGCGTCTTCTCCGTCCGCTCGGTGAAATTCGTCGGTCACCTCGTTGGTAAAAACGGGATCAGCGCCGACCCGCTCAAGGTTAACGCTATTGCGGAGATTGAATGACCCACTAACATTAGCGAACTGAGACGATTTCTTGGCATGGCGAATCAGCTTTCTAAATTCACGCTGGATATGGCTGAGACGACCAAACCTCTCAGAGATCTTCTCGCGAAAGATAACGCGTTGCTTTGGTCTGACGCTCAAGACCAAGCTTTCGAGAGAGTGAAATCGATACTGAGCAGGTATTTCCCCAGTACTTGCAATGTATGATCCACGATCCGAAACATTGCTTTCGTCAGATGCATCATCGTACGGACTGGGAGCAATCCTGGCTCAGAAACAAACTGATGGACACTGGAGACCGGTCGCGTTTGCATGAAGAGCAATGTCTGACACTGAACAGCGATATATGCGCAAATAGAGAAGGAAGCTTTAGCCATAACGTGGGCATGTGAACGCTTCAACAACTATTTGCTTAGACTTCACTTCCATATTGAAACGGATCATAAGCCACTGGTACCTCTGCTGGGGACCAAGAAACTGGACAGCCTCGTGAAACCCTATTGGTTTGTAAGAGGTGAACTGAGCGTTCAACACGGACTACTCCTCAGAGGGAGTAGACTCGTTATTCCAGAAGCAATGCGTGCCGAACTTCTGCGGAGAATCCACGAGGGTCATTTGGGCATATAAAAATGTCGTGAGCGTGCTAAAATCTCAATCTGGTGGCCCGGGCTTAGCATTAAAATCAATGATCTTGTTAAGAGCTGTGACGCATGCATCAGGAAGCAGAAAGATCGCGCAAAACCACTCATCACGACCGACTTTCCGAAACGTCCATGGCAGCGAGTCGCTACAGACTTATTTGAATGGAAATGTAGCAGTACACACTGTCAAACAGATGTTGGAGAAAGCTGACGACGATCCGTATCGTGCCTTACTTGCATACCGTGCTACCCCACTGGAGATTGGATACTCACCGGCTGAGGTACTCTTTGGCAGGAGGATACGCACAACCGTGCCGATCATACCGGAGAAACTGGAACCGCAGCTTCCCGACTCTGCTAAGCTACGCGCGAGGGAGCAATATCAGAGGAACCATCAGAGACAGAACTACAATGCTCACCATCGTGCAGTAGAACGCGACGTCTTGTGGCCAGGAGATGAGGTGTATGTGAGTAGAGAGAACATACCTGGAACTGTTGTTCATGTCGCCGAGACACCGCTGTCATATATCGTCGAGACCCCTACAGGGGAGATCAGGAGAAACCGTCGTCAACTAGCATCGCGACCCGAGAGTGTGGACATTCCCCGCAGCGGAGACCAGGACACTCCAAAACCCACCCGCGAAGTCGCTACTCCAGCAGAATTGTCCACCCGCGATACTACCGCAACTTATTATACGCGTTCTGGTTGACATGTAAACCCGCCAAGTAAATTAGATTTGTAATGACGAGGCCTACATAGTGATCAGAATTTTTAGGACTTTGACTGACCAGTCGCTCCGTTTAAAGGGACACTATCACCTAATGCAAATCGGCTTTGTTTAGTTTGATACGTGATTAAGATTTTAGTCTTAGATTCAAGTTTCATCATTCATAGTTCAATGTCACAGTTAGTGTAAAACTTAAACACTCGGCTCGAAGGGAGATGTAATATTAATAACAGCTAGCGCCATCTAAGCATAGCTCTTGGAACTATTAGCCTCGTTCTGATATTAGGACTGAATTCTATCATGGCTGTCTGCTGAGTATTTCAATAATAAATCTGATGTTATTTGACTTATGCTTTACTCATAGTCTTTCCTGTACAACATAACAAGTATAAGAGATAATATACCTATAAATGTTTTTAGATGTTTATATATATATATTAGGATTTAATATGAACATATGATTAAGATTAATATTAAGTTTAAATAACTAAGATTAAGATTATATATGGTTAAATGCATATTAACGTAAAGATTTTTTTAATCTACTCAAAACTACTATTCCTAATGAGTATAACAGATCACATACTTGTGTATACATGTATGTTTTTAGATGTATATTACTTGTGTGCAGTTTAAATACATGATACATGTAGCATAATCGTATAAGAAAAACACAATTGCTACCATATGTTATTGTATTTTTAACGTTGCCATGAAATTCACCATTGCTCATTTCTGCGTGTATACGCGTTGTCCCTTTCAGGGCTCTCGTGCAAGAGCACATGCCAAGCAGCAACCCACCCGAAAAGTTGGAGCAGGACCAGACTTGGATCCTGGATGGCAGACCGGACTACGCAGCAATGCTACAACAGTTGAAGCACAATCGAGGAAAACTCGCTATCCATGTGAGCCAAATACTGCAGTTTAATTTGCAAATGTTTGACAGTGGCGGTTGCATTCATTTATCAAAATAGCAAAAGAGTAGTGATGGTCATATTTGAGATAGTTGTTTCATCCACTTCGCTCTTGCGTATTTAAGTTTTAGGGTCCCGTCCAGTTAGTGTTTGAAGCTTATAAATATTATCGTATAGGGTAGGTTGTGAAGTTTCTTTTGTAATATGCAGGTTGAGCAAGTGTGTAAGGATGTCAACACACTGCATAGATTTCAGGAGCACACCGAGGGATATGTGTCAGGATTGGTCGCCCAGTTCCGTACGTCAACCATCTGTGTTATCTGCTTGACACACTTAAGTCTTATTTTTGTGCATTATAAAACACACACATGCTTGGTAGTTTATTGGAGCACTGGAATTCTAAGTTAATTCTAAGAATTTGAAATTATTAGTCATAAATACTGTGATCTGGGCTATTTAAATAGTTCTATTCCATTTTAAGAATGATATTATAGACCACTTCAAGTGTTCGTAAATTAAGACCATCAGCCATTATTTTTGTCATATTATATCAGTTCAATAACAGTTTAAATAAAATTAACCATTCGGTGTATGTGTTTTTCTTTTAGATAATACATCATTTAAGGATATAGCTGCTGTTGTGAACCCAAAGACATTGATAGAGAAATTATGTAAGTGATGCCTAGCCAGAGAGAGAAGAGGCATAACTAGGACATTCAACATTCATTCCACATTGTGGGGGCAATTATGAGAGTTGTGTGGGTATTGTAAATACTTGTGTAGATAAAAAAAATTTCTATTTTATTTTTCTCTTTAGGTTTTGTTATTAAGGATACTGTGTTGACAAAATGAAATAGATTAAGCTTGCAACTATAATCTGAGTTTATTAGAATAGAAACTAAACAAGTCTATATGCTTCCATAAACATTAAATATTTACATATATGGGCTCACAAGTTTAATTATAACTTTGATAAGGCTTACTAGAAAAAGAAATGTTCTACTAATTACTTAAAACTATTGGTATTAGGTTGGAAAATGTGATAGAATTCAGTATGCTATCATGATCATAGCATTCTTTTCTTATTAACCCAGGATGACTACTTCTGTCTGTCTGTTGGTGTGTATATATTTTTGGCATCATTTCTTGAATTAGAATGGGCACAATATAAATATTTGTACAGATTATTTTCCTACATTGATTTTGAAGTATATAAGAGGTTTGAATTTATGGACTAAAATAGAAAGTAATAAAAGTACTTTGTATATAGTATATGTACATTTTATTTACATGTTTAATTCCAGCAAAGCATATCAAAATCTCGGTGAAAAATGTAGTATTCTTGAAGAATACATTTGTAATCCCTATGCATACCATGCAAAATAACTCATGTCACATCTGCTATACCACACAGTGTATCAGCCACGTTGATTATTTGCTCAATGTTTTAACCTCTTTACTCAATTTACAAATGCTAATAAAGTTATAGTTTCTTAAATGGCTAACTATGCAATATTCTTAGCTGGGCCAAAAAATTTACTGATAGTTTACAAGATTTGAACTACAAAGATTGCCTACTCACATCATCACATCGGCTTTCTACCTTATAAATGTATTTTCATATTATTGCATTTATATATAAATTTTTAAATTGTACAGAAGTATAAATTAATGGTACGTATTACGGTATAGGGTTAGATGTTTTAGGTTTTCAAGGTTTCCTTTAATTAGCAGAGCAAGCATAAAATTTACAATACCTTTTGTATGTTTTGATCTGAAATATCACTTCTATAAAGGGTAACCCTCCCACACTTTATTTATTAATTGTTTATTAACGCATACATACCATACTGCCTGGGGATGTAAAATAAAGCATTCTCGTGTAGCTGAAGCCTGTTTGAAACCATTCACTTGAGATTATTTTCAAGCACAAAAAAGCGATTAATGTAGACGAAACTGTTCAAATCTGATCACATAACCAGCACCTCGGTGCGACTATATGTAGAACGACGATGCACTACACCGTGACGATACCGGTGGACGATATTGAGCAAATTGAAGGACACAGCTTCACGAGAACATCATGCTGCTGCGTTTGCTCTTTGTTTTCTCCTTGTTAGACTGAAACTCTGTCCGCACAGCGCTGCCTCTCATGTCCAAGATCTGCTGAACCTTCTGGACGATCTTCCGCGACGTCAGGCGATCGCTCTCAAAGTCCACAAACTTGAATTCGTTCTGCGCGGATTTGTAGGTCAGCCGAAACATGGCCCTACCTGAAAGAGTATGGAATGACGTTAAACTAGCTGCAATGATGTCCGAGGTGTCTTGGACAATGGCAGTAATCAAAATGTTACCAGCAGCATCCAAAGGGATATTCAGAATGAATTTTTTAGAGGGAGCATTCTAGACTATGATAATAGTCACTGTGTGTTTGCATGACGGATTATCAAAATATTTAGGCAGATAAATGCAAGGTGAGCTAGGTATTTGGTTATAGAAGCAGCAGATGAACTGGCAGTTTACCAGAGAATAGGAGTAGTGCTCTGAGGTGTAACGATCAATTGCAGTTCAAATTAGGAAGGTTTTCATTTTTCACGAAGGCATTGATCAAGCACGGTGTACACTTCACACATTGAACAAACCTGCATTTGTCTTGTCGTCAATCGTATCACAGGAGGCAATAATTATCATTGGGTATGTGACAGCTTTCTGCTTTGCTAGAAGTTTATTTACCGTCCCTTTCTGCTGAACAGGATCTATTTCAATTTGGTGGGATGATATTCCTAGAAAAATAGAAAAATACCAAAATGCGGAGAAATGTCGCAAAATTAAACTAATAAAATTTTACCAAGGTTCCCGAAGTTTACAATTGTATACCTTGGCTTACCACACATATATATATATATATATATATTGTAGATAGATTAAACACAAGACATCACTTTTTGCTGTTACTCAGAGTTTCACGCTTGCGCGATCATCAGACAACTTTAATGAATAATAAACCTTGTATACATTCCATAACCTATATAAACATGAATGGCGCTATTGTTTTAGTTATCTATTGTTATGTAGTTCTATAGTTCTAGTAACTATAGCTCGCGTACGGTTGCCTGCGGAAACCGTACGCGGGCCATAGTTACCAAAGTCAGTAGATCAATATTTATATGGGTTGTTCTGCTGGTATATTGTTGTTCGACTTTTAACTTTTTTGTTTGTTTCTAATCTTATTGCAACCATTTATACGAAAATTCAGTCCTACTCCCCGTAAATTTCGTCACGATAAGCTTCCTGTCCCGTCCACAAATTAACAACAATTGTGCAATGTGCGCACGAGAGCGCGTAAAAGTATCGTGCGAGAAAAGCTGCAGTATTCCGCGGACGTAACGTTTTTTGTTTGTTTCTAATGTTATTGCCGCCATTTATAAGAAAATTCACTCATATTCTCCGTAAATATCGTTACATTAGGCCCCCTATCCTGTCAGAAAATTATGTAATGCGCGAGCAAGCGCGCGTAAAAGTATCGCGTAGGAAAATGCGTTAGTTAACGTCACACGCAGATCGAGGCGACAGGCTCACCTGTGATAGCGTTGGCCGTGTGTTAAATTGATGAGG